CATATATGTTCTTCTGGAATGAATCTGGAAGGTGTGTATGAATAAACACCATGCAATATTAACACTGCAGCATAAGTAAAATCCCGGTTTTCAACACGGTTGGGAAGTGGGTGCCACTTATGTCGCGAGACAGCAACAACGTCTTCATATACGGCCCCGACTTCCCAACCACATCGTCACATGCAATGGACATATGATATGGTAATAAGAATATATAATCTGTGTGTGTGTGTGTGTGTGTGTGTGTGTGTGTGTGTGTGTGTGAGAGAGAGAGAGAGAGAGCCCTATAATTTTCTCCGTTTCAATTGTTCCTCTGATGTTCGGCCCATGTCCATAGCAGCATCGATATTATCGTCTTTCTTGGCACGCAGGAGTGTTGGTTGTGCATGTATAATTGCAGTCGCTGTTGACATTGTGGGGTGCACGGTGGCACCGCATGAAGTGGCAGCTGCTCCGTGTATGACGCAACTCAGGTTCACACCCCATGACATCGATGTCGTCAGAATGGTCTCCTTCTGTATGAGAACAAACCATGATTTTCCAGTGCGAGTCCAACGTTTGCCGGTTTAGATGCACGACATAATCGTCTTGATAGCTGCAAAGTGTAGAAGCCCGTCCGATGTTGCCACCTTGTCCACAACACCTATCAATGGGTGCGGTTTCGAGAAATAACGCGCCAACCTCAAAATCGCATGACACTAGCCTTTCATGGCTTGACCACCACCTCGCTTTACGTCCCAGTAAGGGTCGTATTCCTCGCCCTCCTCGTCGTTGCTGATATCACTGCCACTCACCTCCAAGTCCCGTAAAGCCGGGTTCTCTTGCTGCAGTCGTGTCTGCGCATCGCCCTTGTCATCAGAACGAACCACCGCATAATCTCCCTGCCGAGACGGTTGTTCACCCCCTTCGTTGAAGTCACCTGAAGGACGTATGGATGCCAATCTCCACTCTCTGAATCAGCCATGGACAGTCCAGGCATCCGCAGCAGGATTCTTCAACACGGTCGTCACATCCGGGAGAGATACTGCGCCACCTACGTCCTGCACTGTTATGTCTCTTGTGTGTGTCCTTGCGCTATTGTGTTCTCGGACGACAATTTCCCATCCTTGCTTTCTCTTCCTCCTCCTATCCACGTCCGTCAATGCCGCGGTGAGCTCCTCTACAGCCTCGAATATGTTCCCTCAGGGCACAGGATCTCCCGATACAAGGTCGAGTATGCGATCCTTTACCCACTCGACATCGACAACCTCCGCTGCTGCTATTGCGTCCTCCGTCACCTCATGCAATGCCTCGTGAATGAGGTTCTTGTCCTCGCCTCCACTCTTCATAAAGTCCACAATCTGGTCAAGTAGCACATACTCGACACCGTCCACCACCATTGTCGCCAGTTCATGGTAGTCGACAGGATCTCTTTGTGCCTCCTCGTTCATCCTGCTCAGCGCCAATATCTTCGCAGCGTTCGGCTTCAATTCTTCACCAACCCCTGTCTTCAACATTTCATTTTCCCTCGCCTGGGATCTTACAAATGTCTTGAACGCCGCTGTGTCGTACGAACCTCCTCCCTCTCTTTTCGTCATGTCGATGTCTTGGTCGTTGCACATCCAGTCCACAACTACGTGAAGAGTGTTCGCAGAGCACTCCATCATGATGTGGTCATCATGCACGTCGGCATTTTGAGATAAGCGCAGCAGCAACTGTTGTGCTCTCGTTGACCTGTCTCCGTTTGCCGCCACTGACTGCTGAACGTCAACCCTCGTGTCAAACTACGCCGACGCTCTTTGCCGTAACAAATCCAGCTCCTCGTCGTTGTAGTAGTGGATTCCCTCTGTTGCGTATCTCATTACCTCTCTCTCCGCTCTCTCCACTT